CTCAAGATCAATAAGGGTAATAGAAATCAGTGGTCCCCAACCTTTTCGGCACCAGGGACCGGTTTCATGGAAGACAGTTTTTCCAGGGGGCTGGAGGAAGGGGCTGAGGGGGTGTGGCGCGGGGTTGTGGAGCTCAGGCGGTGTTGCGAGTGATGGGGAGCGGATGTAAGCCTGCTGCTCGCTCCTGCTCTGCAGCCCGGTTTCTAAGTTTCATGGAAGACAACTTTTCCGCAGCTGGGTGAGGGGGGGCGAGGGAAGCGGAGCTCTGGCGGGGATGTGCTGCCCCATTCCTAACAGGCCACTGACGGGTACTGGCCACAGCCCGGGGATTGCAGATATAAATTGTAACACTGTTACCGGCGCAAGGCCTTCACCTGGCTATGTAATACAAATTAAGAAGAGACCAAGTGGGAATCACAGGCAAGGCTTTCTTGGGCTTTATGCTCCAGCACAAAGGAGGCAGCACAGGAGGAAGAGTTGTCCTGCTGGCTCCTCGAGGGACTGGGCATTCTGGAAGAGTTTTAAAGAGGCCTTAGGTGGGAAAAGGGTGACATGTATGCATATAGAGGTGGAGATTTTAATTTGCCCAGGTAGTTCTATTATAAGCTTCTTCATGCATCACCTGTCTCATTAGTATATTAAATCTCCACCCCTGGGTGTGATTTTTAGCATTACAATGAGATTATAATGAGGGAAAAGTCAGTGTAAGTTCAGAGGGTGGGGGGGTCTCTTCTGGCTTGAGGTGGTTGGATCCGGATAGGTCTGGTTCCTCTGCAGCCAGATGCCATATCATCTTGTGTCAATATCTTACTTCAGTGTCCTTGAAAAACATTACAAGTCATATGGTTTGGTCCCTTCCTTGTGTGCGTATGGGCTAAATTCTGGCAGCTAGGATTTCTTTGTTTTTATTCTTTTTCGATTAATTAGGGTGGGTCATGTTGCCCCATGTTGTCTCCCTTAGTCAAAGTGAGGCCTGAGTCCTGTCCCTATACTGTCTCAACGTGACATACCATTAAATAATTAGCTGTATTGACTCTTTCAGAGATTCCCACTGTTGTCTGCATATTTTGTGTTCATAGTGCATGAGAATGAGGACAGGAAAGGAAGTTCTACAGTCCTTACGATCTTCATTTTGGTATGTTTCCTCCTTAAGGTATTTTTTCTTCCTCCTGACTTTCTGTATTACCTAATTTAATCTGTTGATGGCCACAGTGAGACTCTGTCTGGACCATAAAGTGGGGGTTCCGGACTACTCCAGCTTAGCTTTGGGTCTTAACATGTGGGAAGGCAGCATTTCCCAAAATTTGTTGACCGTGAACTCTCTTCACTGCAACTGTCAACTCCCTCCCCTCACCCTCAAAAGATCACCAGAATAACCTGTTCATTAAGTCAAGCTGAATTTCTTACTGCATTAAGGGAGAATACTACTTTAACATAATCTTAGTAGTGTCTCGGAGAGGAGGTCAAAGTTGTTTTTACAGGGTTCTATAGTCTAGTTGGAGTGGTTTAACGTGGTCTTTTCAATATGGGGATCTCATTGGGATTGGACACAGTTCATAGTATAGTAAGTTTGAGACTGGTACACCCAATAAGGTGAAGAAATTGGAGACAGATTTGGCCCCATTTTTGACAAGGAAGAGAGTGCCCAATTTAGTGATCTACTCAACTTCTCGGCGCTTTTCAGCCAGATGAGCAACCTACTGTTCCTAAATGAGTTTTGAAGTAGTTCCAAAATCTCATAATGAAAATATGTATTGATTTATAGCCTATCTTTGTGGGCAAGAATTTCCAGGAACACACAGTAATACCAAGTTGATTGACATAGAGCTCTTGGTTCTTAATGGTGATAATTAAGCTATAAACTACAGGTGTCTCAGTTCTCACAATAAAATTTTACGAACACTCCTTGAGTGTGGTATATGAAGAAGAAATTGTTAAATCTAGATAGTTTATTTTAAACCATTTTCTCGTAATATTCTTTTTTTTTTTTTGAGATGGAATCTCACTCTGTCGCCTGGGCTAGAGTGCTGTGGCGTCAGCCTAGCTCAGAGCAACCACAAACTCCTGGGCCCAAGTGATTCTCCTGCCTCAGCCTCCCAAGTAGCTGGGATTAAAAGCACACAGCACCACGCCTGGCTAATTTTTCTATTTTTAGTAGAGATGGGGGTCTCACTCTTACTCAGGCTGGTCTC